TCGGGCATGGGGCTCGTGCTTGGAGGACGGGGTCCAGTTTTCCTCACTGGTCACGCAGACGCTTCTTGGGTTGACGACTTGGCTACGCAGTGGTCGTCACAGGGTTACACCTTCAACCTCGGCTCAGGCTCTGTTTCCTGGCGATCTACCCGCTCGTCTTCGGTTCTCAGTTCCAGTTGTGAGGCTGAGATCTACACCGGGGCCATGGCTGCACAAGAGTTACGCTGGCTCACCTACCTGCTGACGGAATTGGGAGAGCAGCCTCGTTCTCCTCCAGTTCTGTACGTAGACAACAAGGCCATGATTGCCTTGTGTCAGGAGCACAGACTGGAGCACAGAACGAAGCACATCGCTCTACGATACTTCCTTGCTCGAGAGTTGTAGCAGCGTGGTCAGCTTCGTCTTGCGTATGTGGCCACTAGGGCCAACACTGCTGATATATTCACCAAGGCACTTCCGTCTGGTGATCATGAGCGCTTCTCTACTGTTTTAGGCCTTGTGCCTACTTTGCCTCACTTGCTCACTGCATGACTTTGCTTGTACTTTGATCTATATATATACCTGCATGCTTACTCTTAGTAGGCTATGATCACTGTATTGTTTGTGCTCTTTATATATCACTTCATGTGAACTGGCCTTGTGGCCCTTTGCTTGTGCTCGAACTGTGTGGTGACTTTGTGATCCACCCTGAGCTTGCTTTGCTTTTCTTTACTGGTCTTGTGACCACTTGTTCTCCCCCACTTTGCCTATGGGGGTGTGTCAGAATGTTGTATTGATTACTTTGTGTAGGCTATAGTGGGGCAGCCCATAAGGGGTACAACCCAATTAGGGTTAGCACTTGTACCTTACTCTTTCATAGTTCATCCATTCTCGGTCATTCTTTTGTCACTATCTGTTGATGGGCTCCTCGCAGGTTGAGTGGGCGATACCTTACAGATTGGATTAGACGGCCAGGATTTACCGTACGTGCAACGTTTCCTATCTGTATAGTGAATTTCTTGGACATATTCAACAATACTCCCAACAAGCGTCGAGAAGGCAATGCCCTTGCGATTATTTTCATGGAGTATATAGATTGAAGGTACCCTAAACTGTACCAATTTCGCGTAAATTATGAACGATTTCGTTACAAAGTGTAGCAGGTGTGTGATTCTAATTCCACTACAACACTAAATTTACCTAATTCCAACGTAATTCATACGCCATGTTATGTCAGCATTTTATGTTAAGAATCCTGTGCTATTGTAATGCTGAAGCTTTGCATGTGTTAAATGCGCAAAAAATACAACAAAATATTCAGATATTACATTAAATGTTTGTGTCAGAATCCCAACCACTAGACCATTGGGAAAGGGCTTGTTTGTGTAGTGGGTCTGTGCGCCCATAACCCCCCAGGCGAACGCGCCTGTAACCCCCCTAGGATCAATCGGGCATCCACAGTGCAGATCTACTGACACCCCCCCACACTGGGAGGCCCAGGACTGAGCACAGCAGCAACGGCCTACATGTGCATACACCGGGATTCGAACCCGAGACCGCTCTGATACCATGTCAGAATCCCAACCACTAGACCATTGGGATAAAAGGGCTTGTTTGTGTAGCGGGTCTGTGCGCCCATAACCCCCGAGGCGAACGTGCCTGTAACCCCCCTAGGATCAATCGGGCATCCACAGTGCATATCTACTGACAGTTTGCAGTTACATAAATCTACATCAACTAACACGATAAGTTACACTTCGAGAACCTTTATACAAGATAATGGAATCTCAAACCATCGATGGCAGAGGCAAAATTTCGACCAACCAGACCGTGCAGGCGTGGAGCTTCGCGACTGGCCAAAATCTTCAGAGCTACTTCCAAACCTGTGCCAAACCTACAACTCACCACCCATGCCTCGAAAGTAGGTGCGACTTCTCGGACTCGCGCTGGGCAACATGCCAACGATACGCCCCCAAAGCATCCTAAGCGCAAACCATTGGCCAAAGCCAATGGTTTGCAAGCCGAAACGACTGGTTTTACCCAACCAGTCGCTGGCAACTGGTTTCCGATACGAAAGCGAGAAAACCTAGTTTCGCGATGAGTAGCTGGTGATCATTGTGGGAGGAGAGGCGGGACCATCATTTGCTTGTCCGACCTCATCTCCTCGCACTCTGATCCATGCTATTTGTGCCTATGAACGCCGTGTCTTACGTCGATCTGCGCTCTCATGTCGAGGCTCCACGTGATTGGCTGAAGATAGCCAGTCCCCGTGCTGAGCTCCTTCGCTGCCTCGCAGCCCACAAGACAAGGCCAGGACAAAGAGGAATCCCAAGAGCGGCATGGTGACGAAATCGACTTCAAGAGGTGGTAGAGAAGGTGGCTGGTTAGTCTGTAAAGCTCTGAGTTTGCTCCATGGATGGTTTGGAGATGTATACGGGAGATCAAGCCTAGTAAGAGGATGTGCGAGGAGGAGCCGACTAGTAGATGGATCTCTTCAGCCAATTGTTGATTAGTACAGATAATTCACACCTCGCGCATAGCAATAATTCGCGTTACAGGAGGCAATAATTCAATCACGCGCATAATCCGCCTGAATCTGGAGTTGCGATAATGCAATCCTCCCGCCAATCGCTCCACCCGAGGATCCTTACTATCCATTGGGATGGAGAGGGGAATGTCACGAGAAATCGTTTTCATACGTGTACGGGAATTCAAGCCTTAGAGGAAGTGTGAGGAGCCGATCAGTAAGGAGATTGGCTCGTCAACCAGTCAGTGACGTCTGTATAATTCGCAACCCTCCCTTCCTATACGCTGGAATGGCATCAGCTCAACGCAGGCCTAGGAGAAAGGCAATAACCTGAGGAGGGCTTAGGAGATAAGCAACTACTCACACAGGGGGAATCTGGAGATGCAATAATGCAATCTCCCGCCACTCGCTCCACCAATGACCATCCATATCCAATGGTGTGGAATGGACAGCGAAAGATCCCGCGAAGTCGTTTGTTACAGGACACACTTCTGTACAGCGAGTTGCTTTCGTGAGTTGCGACGAAGGAAGTGGAGAAGCACACGAACCAAACCCCATAGAACCAGACGAAACCGAGCTGAACTTGGGCGTTGAAGATTCCGCTAACTCCAGCGCGTCGCAATTTGTGCCAGACGCCTCGTCAGAAATACCGCACCGCACAATCCACCAACATTTGAATCTCGTGAACCTAGAGTATGATGTCTCTGAACTGAACTGGTCTCCTTGCCGATCACAAGTGCAAACGGGCACTGGCTGCGACCCTACATCTTCACGCTCCTCCCTAACTGACAGACAATCACCACCACCTGTCGAGCATCACCTAGATGAGCATTTCTCCCCTCCGTTGGTTGCGTTCCTCGGTATCAAACAGACGAGCACAAACAAGTAGGGTCACGCGCTCCGTTCCGTCATCGTCTTTCAACGGCTTCGCGGGTCGGGGCACATGCCTTGGCATAGCAAAGCCCCACCTGCGTTACACTGAGCAGCAGACATTCGTGTTTACGAAAGTGGATCGAACAGAGGCGTTTTAGTATCGTTGACAGTCAGGTCGCCGTTCACTTGCCAATCTGGGTCCAATACCGCCCTGCGAAAAGCATTGACCAGACTTCAACAGCTGGTTGTCGGATTAGCATTCGCGGAGGCAAGCTTCATAGCCATTCGCGGAGCGCCAACCGCCTAGTATGCATATCTCGTTTCGTAATAATAGTATTAGTACATTTGACGACGTGCGGTTATAATAGTTTATTATACCTATCTGAATCTCGATCGTTTTTTCAGCGTTAGCACTACATTCTTTCTTTCGGCGGAAATAAATACGCAACGTCGGCGGTTGCGCGGTGCGAGCAGAAGCGGCGGCGACCCTTGCGAGGGCTCGCTGCGCCGATATAATAACTGGCTTATCGAAAAAGTACGCGAGCCAGAAAGCGACTAATATGAAACGCTTGGGGGCGCATTGGGCTAACAGCTCTTCATCGTAGAAGCGAGTCTGCCGCTCGGCGAGCAGCACTGCGTTCCCGCGGCTTGTACAGCAACACAACATCTTAGAAGCATGATGATAGCTTACTAGTAGCGGCGAACACTCGCTTATCGCGAGATAGTGAGCCATAGTGTGCGTCCGATCATAGAGCTTTATGACAGGGAAGTGTCGCCGTGGCCACCATGCGAGCATGGCTCCTCGCACTACTGCTCCAAGGTCCCAGAAGTTCGTACCAACTCACTGCCCACGGCTGAACCAGAAGGCCGAAGATGTATGTGTCGAGGGCAGGAGCAAACGTGCTCTAGTCATCGCTGTAAAAGACGACAGCAAATGCTTGGCGAAACAGGCGAAAGGGTTAAATCTGAGAAAATTATCGCCGAGACGTCGGTCGCAGAATGCAGCGGGGCGCCAGCACCTGCGATCACGCAGACTTTGCGCAGCAGAAGACGCCGCGCGGTCATTCGCGGATCAACAACGGGGAGTGAGGCGGCTCAGAATGAGGTCCCCCAAGTTCGGGGCAGGGGTCACGAGTGGATGGGGTTTGACAAGCTGCCTCGATCGCCTGCTGCGCCTGCTGGTTGCGATGACGGTAGCATTGGCAGCCTGCGGGGGGAGGTGTCATCTAGTGTCGGCTCAACTGGTGCACGATTCGCAATGTAAGATTCCTCTGATACTTGCCTGTACTCGACTTCTCTCCGCCCTCCTCCCCGCGCGGCTTCTTCCGCCCAGGCAGTGCTCCTCTCCTCACGCCGTCCCCCTTTTAATTGTCTCCGACCACCTTTCCTCCCTTCCCTTACGCCTCTCCCCTCCCCCTCCCACCCCCTTCTCCCTGAGTCGCTACACCCCCTCTCTGCACGTCCCTCCCATGCCACTGCCTGGAGGACTGTGCGTAAGTTTCGCCCTTCCCCCCCTTTTTCCCCCCACCCTTTCGCCCCGCCCTTTCCGCCCCAACGCCCTTCTCCCCGACCCCCCGCACCCGCTCTGCGCCGCCTCCCCATGCCGCCGCCTGGAGGACAGTGCCCGCGCTCCACTTGATCGCCGCCACGTGGCCCACAGCCATTACCGCCACGTGGCAGGATGGCTCAGAATGCTCGAAGTGGAGTGGCGTGTCGTGCGATAAGGATGGGTTTGTCAGCACCATGTGAGCTTGCAAGGCGAATGAGAATGCGAGGGGGGAATGAGAATGCGAGGGAGGAATGAGAATGCGAGGGGGGAATGAGAATGCGAGGGAGGAATGAGAATGCGAGGGAGGAATGAGAATGCGAGGGAGGAATGAGAATGCGAGGGAGGAATGAGAATGCGAGGGGGAAATGAGAATGCGAGGGGGGAATGAGAGTGCAAGGGAGGAATGAGAATGCGAGGGGGAAATGAGAATGCGAGGGGGGAATGAGAATGCGAGGGAGGAATGAGAATGCGAGGGGGAAATGAGAATGCGAGGGAGGAATGAGAATGCGAGGGGGAAATGAGAATGCGAGGGAGAAATGAGAATGCGAGGGGGGAATGAGAATGCGAGGGGGGAATGAGAATGCGAGGGGGAATGAGAATGCGAAGTGGAGTGGCGTGTCGTGTGATAAGGATGGGTTTGTCAGCACCATGTGAGCTTGCAGCTAGAGATCGCAAGGCGGGAATCAATGCTTCTCTACTGCGAGAGAGGTTGATTTTGGTTCAGACTTGTCCCATCGTTTGTTTCACTCTCTCTTTTTAGTCAATGCTTCTCTACTAGTACTGCGTTACCTCAGTCCTCACCCGACTCCCTTATCCGCGTCCCTTGCTCCGCCGTGCCCTGATCCCCCATGTCCCGGCTCCCTGATCCGCCATTGCCCCTCCATCGTCCTCCTCGCCCCGCAGTGACCTCAGCAACCGAGCTTTGGAAGGCTCTCTACCGTCCGCGCTCTTCACGCTCACGTCGCTTCAACAACTGTGCGTCTGTGAGTCTGTGGGTCTCGCTCACGCAAATGCACACCAAATGCTGACGCGCACGCCACATCGCCACACAGGGACAACCCCACTCGCTTGACTGCCGCGAGTCTGACTCATCGTCCACATATTCCCTTTGTTCATCACGACTTGCATACTGACTTGCAGATTGACTTGCATACTGACTTGCAGATTGACTTTTGAGTTGACTCAAAAGTCGGCTGCCGTGAGTCTGACTTGTCCAAAAACTGACTTGTCTTTCTGCATCTTGACTCTTGACTTGCATATTGCACTTGCTCCAACTGTTCCCTTCTTTCCGCATACTACTTCGTTCTCCTTTTTGTCTGATAACACTTGATAACACTCCAGTCTCTCGGCATCACCTCCCTCCCTGTCCACTCTCCTTTCCACCATTCCTTCCCCCCTCCCGATTCAGAAAGCTCAACGATAACTCGTTAGAGGGCTCTCTGCTGGCTTCTATAGGGAACCTAACCCAACTAACACTGCTGTAAGCATGGCGTGGTAACATGTGAGGCCCTGCTGTAAACCCTAGACCCAACACCTGAGGCTGTACGTGTTAGAGGGCGCTCTGCCGGCCGTTATAGAAAACCTAACTCAACTAATATTTTTGTAAGCATGTCGCGACAACAGGAAACTTCCTCGAAGCCCTGCTAAACCGTAGATCCGAAACCTTCAACCTGCAACCCTGACCGAAACCTTAAACCCGAAACCCTGTCAGGTCTCTGGGCAGGAACGAGCTCTCGGGACCCATTCCTCCCCCGCTCTCCAACCTCCAAGCCCTAAAATACCTGTGAGTCCTATTTTCTGTTGAGACAAAAAGTGCGCTCATACTGCTTGCTTCTGAGACACCAGTAACTCCTGATCACCATGTACTTGTTAGTGTGTGTGCCTGTGATGGTGTATATGTGTAACCATGGTACATTCGAAAGCCGGAAGAATGATCTAACAGGAAGGCAACATTGTGCTTGTACTGTGACAATGGCCTAACGACTGGATGTGCTTGTATTGTACGGCAGCCTTCTGAGTGACAACGAGTTGTCGGAGACGATTCCAGCAGAGCTAGGGAGCATCACAACGCTTGAGGCGCTGTAAGTGGGGTGCCTAGCAGTGCGCATACGTATATCGGGGTGCTACAAAGCGTCTCACCATTGACAGACAGTATTTGTCAAGTGGTGAGGGAGGTGTGGTGTGGGTGGTAGAAATATCGAGTGCTTGTACCATCAAGCATCGGTGGGCCTCCTTTGGTTCCAAAGTGCCTTGCTAGCTTTTCTGCCCCTGCCTGCTCACTTCCTCCCACTCTCTCACACACATGCGTGCTTGTCGAACCCTTGCCTCTTTACCTCGCACTGGCCATCGATTGTTGGCTCGCCTTCCGTACCTCACCGCTGCTCCACTCGTGCATTCCTTTTCCACACTCTCCTCCCTCTCACGTATTACTCCTCTCCTTCCCTCTGCACCTCTCTCTCCCTCTGCACCTCTCTCTCCCTCTGCACCTCTCTCTCCCTCTGCACCTCTCTCTCCCTCTGCACCTCTCCTTCCCTCTGCACCTCTCTCCCCCCCTGCACCTCTCCTTCCCTCTGCACCATTCCTTCCCTCTGCCCCTCTCCTTCCCTCTGCACCTCTCCTTCCCTCTGCACCTCTCTCTCCCTCTGCACCTCTCCCTCCCTCTGCTCTCCCACTCGCCCAGAGACTTAAGCATGAACCGCCTCTCGGGCTCCCTGCCACCATCACTGCTCGACTTGCCTGCCCTTGTCTACTTGTACGGTGGGCCTGGCCATGACTCTGATGACATTGTTCCTTGCTTCTTCCAAGTGATAAAAGTTGAGTTTTGGAACGTCTCAAAGCCATCACTGCTCGACTTGCCCGCCCTTGTCTACTTGTATGTAGGGCCAGGACTCTATTGGCATTGTGCCTTGCTTCTTTGTTTCCTGCTCGTGTGCTACCTTGCTTGCCCCTCACTCGTGTGCTACCTTGCTTGCCCCTCACTCGTGTGCTACCTTGCTTGCCCCTCACTCGTGTGCTACCTTGCTTGCCCCTCACTCGTGTGCTACCTTGCTTGCCCCTCACTCGTGTGCTACCTTGCTTGCCCCTCACTCGTGTGCTACCTTGCTTGCCTTGCACCCTTCTCTCATTGATCTTCACCCAAACGGAGCCTTCGTGTTCCCAAAGTGAACGATTGAACAGAACGACTCTGAAGTGAACGATTTCTCTAAGTACACCCGTTTCTCCTTCCAACCGTCCCAGCGAAGCGACCCAGCGAAGCGACCCGACCCAGCGAGCCTTCAGCTCCCACAACAAACACCTCCCCCGTTTCCCGGCCCCACCTTTCATCACCCCTCACAGGCTCACAGTGCCACTTGCAAGAATGATATATTGGGTTCTGTCCCTGCACCCTTCTCCTCTCCCTCCCCCACCTCTCTCCTCCAAACCACCTCCATTTCTATGCATCGAACCTGCCCCTCGATTCCTTTTGAGACGTCTTAAAAGTCATTTCTATGCATCGAAACTGCCCCTCCCTTCCTTTTGAGACGTCTTAAAAGTAATTTCTATGCATCGAACCTGCCCTCACTTACTCACAACTCCCTCCCCCATCCCACAATCCCCGTGCCCCCCTCACAGGAACATAAATAACGAGTTCACCGGTCTTGTTTTGAGAATTCTTAGAAACTAGCTCCTCCCCACCCCTCCTTTCCCCCATCTCCCCCTCACAGGGACATATCTAATAACAAGTTGGAAACGTCTCAAATTATTTCGAATGTATCTTAAATATATAATTATATCAAATTATATCTAACATATCACGTCCCTCCATCCCCCTATTTGCCCCTCACAGGGACATATCTAATAACGAGTTCGCTGGCCCCCTCCCTTCTGGTTTCGCCTCCTCCTCCCTCGCCTCTCTCCCACTCGCCACCTTCAACGTCGAAAGAAACTTCTTCACAGGGTCTGCCCGTGCCGAAATCTCAGCTGGAAAACTTTCCTTCTGCCCGGAGGACCAGCAGGGAGGCTTCGCAGCAGCAAATCTGCTCCCTTATAGCCCGTCTCAGTATGGTTCAGTGCGGGGGAACTGCCTCAACCCGAGAGGAGGGGGAGGGTGCGAGGGGGAGGGGAGGCAGCGGAAGAAGGGGGAGTGCTTGGCGTTTTGTGGGGTGGGGAGTGTGGAAGGAGTGTGTGGGGGGCATGGGAGGTGCTTTCTCAAGGGGCCCTCAAGAGTGCCCGTGTGTGAGTGTGAGGAGGGGTATTATGAGGATGCGGTGGAGATGAAAGGGGGTGGTTACCCTACATGTTCAGCGACTAAGCCTGAAAATCCGCCTCCTCCATTTCCACCAGACATACCATCAGATGCAGGTAAGTCGTGGTGTTTGTGTTTGTGTGTGTGTGTGTGTGTGTGTGTGTGTGTTTGTTTGTGTGTGTGTGTGTGTCTGTGTGTGTGTGTGCATGTGTGTGTGCATGTGTGTGTGCAACCATCCCCTCACGCTCAACCGCTTGTACTGAAGATTCATCTAGTTTTCCTGCTCCTCATTTCGCCCGTCTCTCTACTCAGACGACCCACAGAAGCAGCGCCACAGGCCGGGGTTGAGAGACCGAGACTTCAAGGCCGTGCCGGCAACCACACCTTCCCAATTCAACCGCTTCTTCCGCCACGTCAGCCTGGGGTTCAATGGCACAGCCGCCCAGCCCTCTTGGGAGTACCGAGAGGGGATACGGGTGTGAATAGCCAGAAAGGCCGTGCCAGCAACCACCCCCTACCACTTCAACCACTTCGTCCCTTCTCCTCATCTGTCTTACTCCCTCCTCTCAGACGACCCACAGAAGCAGCGCCACCGGCCGGGGTTGAGAGACCGAGACTTCAAGGCCGTGCCGGCAACCACACCTTGCCGATTCAACCCGCACTTCCGCCACGTGAACCTGGGGTTCAACGGCACGGCCGTCCAGCCTGGTGGCCTTTTCAGTCGACTCGATTCAGCTCTTTTCCCTTCTCCCCATCTCTCATTCCCCAGCTTCATTTCAGACGACTCGTTAAAGGGGCGCCACCGGCTGGGGTTGAGGGACCGGGATTTCAATGCCGTGCCAGCAACCACCCCTTCTCCCCATATCGCTTTTCCTCTCCATGCAGACGACCCACAGAAGCAGCGCCACCGGCCGGGGTTGAGAGACAGGGATTTCAAGGCCGTGCCGGCAACCACCCCCTCGCGCTTCAACCGCTTCTTCCGCCACATGAGCCTGGGGTTCAACGGCACGGCCGCCCAGCCCTCTTGGGCATATCGAGAGGCGGTGGACTGGCGGGGGCTGGTGCTCGTGCGCGGGCGGAACGTGACGGTGGTGCCTCCGGTGAAAGACCAAGGCTTGTGCGGTGAGTGATGGAAGACAAGGCTTGTGCGGTGAGTGAATGAAGACAAGGCTTGTGCGGTGAGTGATGGAAGACAAGGCTTGTGCGGTGAGTGATGGAAGACAAGGCTTGTGGGGTGAGCAGTGTAGGAGGCAACGTCCTCAAGAGGCGACTCTTGAGTCGACTGAAAAGTCTCCTCCAGTGAATGACCGGGGCTTGTGCAGTGAGTGGTAAGGGAAGGGACAGGTGTGAATAGCCATAAACGGATGTGAATGGTGCAGCTCTGGTGCTGGTTGGTTGGGAGTCACTTTTGAGAAAATGAATTCTCAAAAGAGAATCCTCAAAAGTGGCTCTGGTGCTGGTGGTTTGAGACGCACTGAGTCAATCGAACTGTGTGCTTCCTCCTCTATACGCTAACTAATCTCCCTCTCCTTCTCCTTTCGCATCTCCGTTTTCCCCCCTCCCAATCAGCTGCCTGCTGGGCTCGGGTGCTGGTGGCAGCAATAGAGGCAGTCTATGCTATAGCATGTGGTCCCAACCATTCAACCACTCTCCTATCTCCTTCTCCTTACGCATCGTCTCCCCCCTCTCCCCCCCATCTCCCCCTTTCCTCAATCAGCTGCCTGCTGGGCTCTGGTACCAGTGGCTGCAATAGAGGCAGTCTATGCGATAGCATATGGCGCCAACCATCCCAACCTGTCCAGTCAGCAGGTGCTGAGCTGTCAGGGCACGTGGCAGTGCACAGGTGGCATCCCGGCGGACGTGTTCCAGTTCGTGGCAGCTGTTGGAGGGGTATCAGCGGAGAAAGCAGTGCCGTACACGGGAGTGGTGAACGCCAGTGATTGTAAGGTGAGGAGAGCAATGTGTGTGTGTGTGTGTATGTGTGTGTGTGTATGTGTGTGTGTGTGTGTGTGCACGTTGAAAGCAGTGATCCTGGACACACCCTAAATGAGCCCCGGACATCAAATACTGAAATCTGCCTCCCGCTTAAAGCAAGGGTGCACTTTGTGGGGGGTTGTCTCATAGGTTTATCACTCGCCTCTGGAAGGTAACCATGTTTGGGTTGGGCGTGGGAGGCGACAATCTTTTGCTTTTACCCCCGCGGGGAGTCACGAGGTGTTCCCCTTGACCCACCAGTGCGCGATTGGAAACAGAGTTGGGTTTCTGACTGTGCAGTTGTGTTGTTACACTCAGGTAGTTTGTTTCGCCCAGCCAATTTTGACGAAACTGGGCCCTGCTAAAAAAACACCTCGCTGTCAATTTTCGCTAGGATAACACTTCGCCAAGCTTCGTAGGTTTGGAACTCTTTGGAACTTGGGCCACACATGAGCGTTTGTGTACCAAAATTCGAGCACCAGCACCAACTCCTTCCGCCGTGTTCCCCCAACGCAACCCGCCGACGAACTTGATTGTGTTCGCCAGCAAAAACTCCAACCCTCGCCCCAGTGTTTCATTCGCCATCCATTCATAGCACCCTAAGGGGTGTACCAAACCAATACACCCGAAAACCACCCCTAGGAATGTGCAACCTTGCTTTAAGAGGGAGCTAGCATGTGCCAGGGGCACCTGTCGCTCGTCACTTGTTTTTTGGCACCTGCCTCGATGCACCTGTCTCTCTGCCCTCTCTCTCTGCCCTCTCGATCTGCCTTCGTTCTCCTGCCTGTGCCTTCCCCTCTACTTTTGAGGCGCCTCAAAAGGTAGCTAGCATCACTTGCGTTTTGGAACCTGCCTGGATCCACCTCTCTCTCTGCCCTCTCTCTCTGTCTCTCCTTCTCCCGCCTGTGCCTTCCACCCTCAGCTTCTCCCAACAAGTTCGAAGCAGCAGAGAAAGAAGGCTGCAGCACAAGCCGTTAAGCCTGCACCTGCTGCCAAACGCAACTCGCGTCAGTCCAAACCACAACCTGCAGCTATCAGGCCTACCACCGAACCTCCCACCAAGGCTCTATCCGGACCTCTCACCGGACCTGCTTCCAGACCATTGAAGCACCAGCGTCAGAAGGCTACAGTGCACGCAGTCAAGGTTGCAACATCAGCTTCCAGGCCTGCTGCCGGACCTCCTGCCAGGCCTGCCAAATCACGAGCGAGGGGAGTGCAGTCACCTTCCAAACCTGCTGTTGCTGGCAGAGGCCGGCAGGCTATGGTTCAGGCGGCAGCTGAGCGTGTGGTGCCCACATCAGCATCCATGTCAGCAGGCAAAACGCCAGCAGCCTCAACTTCAGTTACGAAGAATGAAGACGACAACGACAAGCGCACGCACCCCTCCCCCTCCTTCTCCTCACTCTTCTCCCAACTCTTCCGCCGACTCAGAAGGCCCATCCAGTCACCCAAGCTGCCCCCTACCACCCCGGTTCCCCCATCCTCTTCCCCTCCTCCTGTCCCTGCCTTCCCACCTCAAGTTCCCGGCATCCACCCCCTCTCCGGCCGCTTCTCCATCTCCATGTTCGAACAGGTGGGCTTGATACACTTAAGCCCCTTGTCACCGCACTCAACCCAGCTGTTGCGTTCCTCCTCTCCTCCCCTCCTCCCCCCCCTGCCTTCCCACCTCAACCGCCCGGCATCCACCCCCTTTCCGGCCGCTTCTCCATCTCCATGTTCGAACAGGTATGATCAATCAGCATGAACCCCCTGTTACCACACTCCACCCAGCTGTAGTCTGCTGGGCTCAATACAGATGGCTCGCTGTACAGAAGCGGACAGGTGGGCTGAACTGGCTTGACCCCCTGTCACCGCACTCAACCCAGCTGTTGTGTGTGTTCCTCCTCACATCACCCCACCTACTACCTGTGCTTCCCTGGTGCCTCTTCACGTACTGCTTGCTACTGTGACGTGACAGGTGTCGGTCCCTGGTTGGCTGGGAATGGTGCTAGCGCTGCAGGCGCAGCCAATCATTGCCAACGTGGAGGCGGATCAACTCTCCTTTATCAACTACCAGGGGGTAATTTAAGCTGTACATCGTGTAACAGAATGGGGCCAAGTTGTAAGTAATGCAACCATCAGCAGTGACTGTATACCTGACTGACAGAGTGATGTCTAGAAACTGTTCAGGTGTGAAGGAGGGGGGTAGCATATTTTGGGGCCGCGACTGATGACGGTACATCACGCCAGAAAGAGCAAGCCATGCACGGGGAAGAGCAAGGAAGGTTACTACAGTGCCAGGCGGGGAAGGAAAATGTGTGGAGAAAGGAGATCAATCAATGCAGTGGGAAGAATTAGTCCAAGATTAAGGTGTTTCCAGAGGTTAATCGTGTTGATTGGACCTTTTTTTTCTCTTCCTCTCCTTCAATTCTACCCTTTGGGGCTTTATTTGTGCGGATCCAGATTGCTTTTGAGTCGGCTAAGAAGTCACCCTTTTCTTTCGCTCTCCTTCAACTCTAAAACCTTCAGGGCTTTGTCTATGCGGATCCGGATTGCTTCGCGAATGGAGTGGTGAATCACATCGTGCTGCTGGTGGGGTACAGCATGGCTGGAGTGACGCCCTACTTCATCCTTCACAACACCTTCTCTTGCTCTCCTTCGACTCTCTCCCTCCATCAACTCTCCTCCAGCCCTAATTCCTTCAGGGCTTCAATTACGCGGGTCCCTCTTGCTTTGCGAATAGAGTGGACTATTGAGGGCCTCACGAGTCTCTTTCTTCCCTTCTCCACACCCTTCAGGGCTTCATCTATGCGGACCTAGACTGTTTCGCGAATGGAGTTGTGAATCACATCGTGCTGCTGGTGGGATACAGCATGGCTGGAGTGACGCCCTACTTCATCCTGCAGAACACCTGGGGATCCACCTGGGGCGAGGGCGGCTTCATGCAAATGGCCATTGAAGCAGGTGCCTTTCTCTTCTACTTCTTCGAATTGATTCTCATCTAGTAGAAGCAAACGGAAATAAAGTACCCGCGTTGATAGGACATGTGTTTCTTTCTCTATCCCAGTCTAATTGAATCATATTTTTCACCTGCCTATTTGACATCCAGCTGCCTCTACCACCCCATGAACCCATATGGCCCCACAAAGTACCAATCATCTTGCACAGCCCATATAATTATCCCTAATCCATCTCTCCACCCCGCCAACCCCCCATACGGCAACGGCATCTGTGCCATCAACACCACTCCTGCCTTATACCCAGTGGTGGCAGGTTCGCACCCGTGTCAGCCCATCAACCCATGTGTGTCGCTATCCATCTCTCCATCCCTCCCTACCCCCCCGCACACAGGCAACGGCATCTGTGGCATCAACACCACTCCTGCCTTGTACCCAGTGGTGGCAGGTTCGCACCCCTGTCAGCCCATCAACCCGTGTGGCAGCGGCAAGTGCAGCAATCGTGCAGGGAAGAGCAAGTGTGCGTGTGCGCCTGGGTTTACCACTGCCAAGAACATCGATGGGTCTGAGACATGCATTCTGGGTTTGGTCACACAACCCACAATCCCCACCTCTCAAGCAAGTGTGCGCCTACACCTGGGTTCACCACTGCCAAGAACAACAACGGGTCCGAGAAATGCACTCCGGGTGAGCAGGATGAAACCACTAGGTTAGTTCACACAACCCACAATCCCCCCTTCTCTGTCCCCGCCTCTCTAGCAAATGCGCATGTGCACCTTTTGAGAATTCTCAAAAGCGCGTGTACACCTGGGTTCACCGCTGCTAAGAAATTTCGAGGGGCCTGAGACATGCAGTCACAATCCTGCCACCATCATGCCAGTCCACATGTGCATTGAGTCAACAAGCCAGCATTCCAGCATGCAATTTCCATCTTTCAGGGAAGGTTAGATTAGCACTGATTTCCCTGCCTACTATACCCCTCCTCCCTCACGATTTCCTCGACCACCCCATCTTTCGCTTCCCCTCTTTCCCCACACCGATCCCTCCCACCCGCCAGTCCACGTGTGCTCCATGTCAGCAGCCAACCCCTGCCAGGTGGGCACGTGTCTCAATGACGGGGCGGGCGGCTACAACTGCTTGTGTTCGCCGGGGTTTGTGGCGGACGAGAGACCCGATGAAACCCCTGTCTGCGTGCCAGGTACCGCTCGTTTCTTCGTTTCACCATGGAAGATGGTACCATGTCAAACAGCATGAATTGCTACCCCATAGAACACGCATTTCTGTGTGATGGAAACACCCATCCCGCTGTTTACCACCCAGTACATCGCATCCTCATCAACACATGTTTCCCCTTCTTCCGCTGTCGTCTCATTCACTGTGCAACGTTTTCGAGACCTCTCAAAGGTCACCCTTCATCGTCCCCAACTTCTTGCTCCGTCTCTGATTCCCTCCCACCTCTTTGTCTCCCCCTCTCTTTGCGCTTTCAACCGGTGCCAAAACTGTGCCGCCCCATCACCTTCTCCCTCTCCTCCCCCTCACATTCCGTGCCAGGTGTCACTCCATCAGAGGTCCACGTGGTGCCAGGGCTGACATGTGACAGTGTGCGGTCGACATTTGGCATGTCAGAGGCCAACTTCACTCAGCTTAACCCGGTGAGCTGACCTCTCAACCTACAAGCCGCATCCCACCACTAGTGCCTCGCAAGCTGTACTTTGCAGCACCATCACCTCTAGTGCCTTGCAATATACGGTCCACATTCGGCATGTCAGAGGCCCACTTCACTCAGCTCAACCCTGTGAGCATCTCAGAAGCCCAATGCCACCATGCATACCAATGTGCCTCTACCATTAGTGCCTTGCAGCACCATGATATGTGACAGTGTACGGTCAACATTTGGCATGTCAGAGGCCAACTTCACTCAGCTCAACCCTGTGAGTAGAACTCAACCCGCATGCTGCCAAGCAAAAACGTGCCAGCAGCACACAGTTTCTTGCAGCCCACTTTGCACACCAACTCACATTCCCATCGGGCTCACTCACAGCCCAACTTCACTCAGCTTAACCCGGTGGGCTGAATTCAAGCCGCATGCTACCACGCATCAGTGTGCCAGCATCACACGATTGCTCGCAGCCCACTTTGCACACCAAACCCCACCCCCCTGTGTGAATGGAATGCTAAGAAGCTCAACTACTCCAGCCTTGCAATCGGGGACGACATTTACGTCAGCGATGGCACCCTGTGCGCCACTCCCTATACTGCCCCTTCCTCAGTCGCCCTTCTTGTTTGCCCCCCTCTTTCCCCCACCCCCAGAAGCTCAACTGCTCCAGCCTTGCAATTGGAGATGACATTTATGCCAGCGATGGCACCCTGTGTGCCACTCCCTATACTGCCCCTGTCTCAGTCGTCCTTTGCTTGTTTGCCCCCCTCTTCCCCCCATCCCAATCCCCAACCCGCGTCCAGAAGCTCAACTGCTCCAGCCTTGCCATTGGAGACGACATTTATGTCAGTGATGGCACCCTGTGCGCCACTCCCTATACTGTCACCACTGTAAGTCCAAGGCCACTCCCTACACTGTCACCGCTGTAAGCCCACAGCCACTTCCTACACTGTCACGGCTGTATGTCCAAGGCCACTCCCTATACTGTCACTGTCGTATGCTCACAATTACTCCCTATACTGTCACTGTCGTAAGCTCACGAATGCTCCCTATACTATAACTTCTGTGAGCCCACAAAACAGCAGTTCGCCGTACTTGATCCGCATTCGTTCTACACGATGCTGAAATGCTCATTCCATGCTTGTAGAGACGCTTGATCCCTTTTGCGATTATTTTCAGTCTGAAACTGCTGGTTAGGGACCCCTCACACCGTTTGCTCCTCACAAGTCATGCCATGCTTGTGGAGACGCTTGCTTGATCGGCAATCTGACACTGCTGGTTTCTGCTGGTTAGAGATCCCTCACGCCATTTGCTTCTGTGCGTGCGACCAATGGCAGGATGACACGTGTGAGAGCATCGCTGCAGCATTCAGCATGACTCGCTCGGAATTCCTCAGGCTGAATGACGACCTGCCGTGTGGGAGGCTAAAGGCCGGGCAACAGGTGGGAGGCATGCGTGCTGTGAGAGCATGGGTGCTCAAGGCATGTGTGATAGCATGCCTGCTCAAGGCGTGTGTGGGAGCATGGGTGCTCAAGGCGTTTGTGAATGGGTGCTCAAGGCATGTGTGAGAGCATGGGTGCTCAAGGCATGTGTGAGAGCATGGGTGCTCAAGGCATGTGTGGGAGCATGGGTGCTCAAGGCATGTGTGAGACCATGGGTGCTCAAGGCATGTGTGAGAGCATGGGTGCTCAAGGCATGTGTGAGACCATGGGTGCTCAAGGCATGTGTGAGAGCATGGCTTGAGATCAGCATGTCTGTCGCAGTTCCCCTCCAGCGGAATGGCGACCAGCATTGTTGAGGGTCGCAGTTTTTGTCAGCACGAACGACTGAGCTTAGATGGTGCAAGGCGACATAACCTTCTGCTTTTCAGTATCTCTGCAATCTGTATTAACGCCTGCTTCTTTCTCATTGTAATGATTGAACTGTGTTCCTTGTGCATGCAGGTGTGCGTGGCGCATGGCACACCAGACATGCCAGCGTGCCAGGAGTTTGTGACTGTAGCGGAGGGCGATAGCTGCGACACAATCATGAGGGCTGCTCGTCCCCCTCTGAGCGCCCAGGAGTTCTACACGTTGAACCCAGGGATCAACTGCAATGCGGGCGAGCAGATGCTGCTGGGCCAACAGGTATGGCACCTTCTTGTGCACAGTGGTTGCCACTCACTACTGTGACAGCTGCGACACAATAATGAGGGCTGCACGCCCTCCTCTGAGCGCACAGGAGTTCTACACGCTGAACCCAGGGATCAACTGCAATGTGGGCGAGCAGATGCTTGTAGGTCAACAGGTAAGAATATGCTGGTAGTGAGACGACTTCTGAGGTGCCCCAGAAGTTCTACACGTCGAACCCAGGGATCAACTGCAACGTGGGACAACAGATGCTGCTAGGCCAACAGGTATGGATTGAGGGTAGTGTGAGGAGCTTTGAGGCGCCTCAAAATTTCTACACGTTGAACCCAGTGAATAACTGCAACGTGGGAGAGCAGATGCTTCTAGGCCAACAGGTATGCTAGGGGGGGGTTCCCAATGGCATTCTCAATCACCTTTGCTGTCTTCTTCCTGAGTGCCATTGGCATGGGTTCATCTCTGCTACTCATTTCTGCTACTCATTTCTGCTACTCATTTCTGCTTCTCATTTCTGCTACTCATTTCTGCTACTCATTTCTGCTACTCATTTCTGCTACTCATTTCTGCTACTCATTTCTGCTACTCATTACTGCTACGCTACTCATTACTCCTGGCCTAGTGTTGCATGCATACCAGTTACGAACACATCCTCTTCCCCACCCTTTCTCTCTTACTCCCTGTTGTCCACCTTTACTCTGTAAAAGCAAGGGCATATCTGGCTTTCCAGCCCTGCCGTTTGTGGCCATTTCTTTGCTGACCTCATGCACCGTTGGAATTCGCAAAGAGCTCCTTCCACTCTCCTAACCCCATCCCCTTCCCACCATTTTCCCTCATCCCCCAATCTCCGCAACGCTTTCACCCCTCTCCCCCCCCATTCCACTTTCTCCGTGTGTAGGGTGTGTGGGATTGGTGAAAAGACAATGTTTGAAGTCAACTCTATCATGTCCCCCATCCCACTTGCTCTGTACACAGGTGTGTGTGCGGGGTGGGAAATCAAGTATGTTACTTGGAGCTTCTCGATGCGTGACAAACCTGCAGTACACGGTAGTGACGGGAGACACATGTGCACGCATAATTGCTCTATACTTTAAGAGCTCGTCAAGACTAATGTCGCAATACAATTCGGGTTATGCGTGTACAAACACCCGCTTATACAAGGGCATGCGCCTGTGCAAGCCACCTTAGGTCGTTTACAGCAATTGTCATTACGTGTATTTAGCATTCGTGACTTAATATCTTAGCACCAGACTGTGCTCATCCGAATGTTGTTGTATTTGTTTATTCTACCGTATTTGGTTATGTACCACCTGGTGCAGTGCAGTGGTGGGGGGGGGGGGGGGGGGGGGGGGGGGGTATCCATCATCCGACGTACGGTGTGAACGTTTATTTCCAGCGGAAGAAATAATCCAGAATTTAAAATGCTAATGGCATGCATTAGCCCAACTTCTGCACATGAAACATTCGAACAACTAAAGAATTACAAAAATCCAGCAGAATATTCCACCTTTCAAAATCCCTCACATTCGATTCAATGTATACACAACGAATTCTGAAGCCAAGTCTGTTCTAATATCAGAGTCCTCGCTATTTCCCAAACCAGGTTAGGCCTTCAGCCAAACGTGCTTTGGTGGTCCCCAGGCCTAGCGGCAGCCTCGGCCGGGACATAAGCACAGCAAGCAGGATGGCAGGTTGGCTCACTGGCGCGCATAGCAGATGATGAAGATTGGCGAGCGGAGATTGGCGGGAGGCCTTGTGCCGGAAAGATTTTTTGGTCAGGCAACCCAACCAAACCCTAGAGAGCCTCCTCCTCGCCTCATCGAAATGCCTCAGGGCGTGGAACATTTGGGATTTTTTCCAAACGAACCGTACCGTCTGAACGGTTGAAACTGGTCCATTTGTCAAACGCTTTGTTCAAGTAGGTTTCAATAAGTTTCAGAGTGGTAGCCGTACATTCGTTCTTCCACGCCCTCAGCTTGATCCCAGCCCATCCCGTCTGGGCAGCTAAGGGCTGGAGGAGACTGCTCTCGCTGGAGAGCTCCATCTCAAGAATGTGGGGGTTAAAAATGGCCATTTGCGCCCATATACCCAGCGTTTATAGTTAGTTTATGGCCACGTAATGGCGGGCTGTACGCAAGATGGCTCGTAGGCAGTTGGGGCCCGCAAATTGGCCGCCTGTAAATTGATCGAAATGGCTATGTACGACAATTCTGCTGGTGGGTTAATATGGCTTTAAATAGGTGTTTGTTGTTGAAGAACGTCCTTGTATTGTCTGACGGTAACTCCCCATTCCTGGTTTGAGAACAAATTGCCTGACTATACATGTGCTTGTATTTGCATGCTATTGTGCATGTCTACCATAAATCATCAGAGCATGAATTGCATTTTCTAGTTGTGCAGGTTGGTTTACAGGCCATTAATTTATCCTTGAAAACAGTGCATTCCAATCACGTACCACAATTAATTGCAACGCTTCGAAAAGAGACAGAACTCATCAACATTGCGACTCAGTTATATGAGAACTAGATGATACACCTCTACTCACAGATAACATTAACTCTAATCCTGAATTTTGGCAACCTTAAACCTCTACACCAACCCCTCAAAAGAGGGTTCGAATCCTTCAATAAGGATCTTGATATCAGAATGTTATAGTGCTTACATTTGTGTAGGCTATAGTGGGGTAGCCCATAAGGGGTACAACCCAATTAGGGTTAGTACTTGTACTCAACTGTTTCATAGTTCATCCATTCTCGGTCATTCTTTTGACACTATCTGTAGATGGGCTCCTCGCAGGTTGACTGGGCGATACTTTACCCGGCCCGTCGCCCGACGCCCCTGGGCCCACGCCCGTCGCCCCTAGCCCTGGCCCGTCGCCCGACTCCCCTAGGCCCCGGCCCGACGCCCCTAGGCCCGACTCCCCTAGGCCCCGGCCCGACTCCCCTAGGCCCCGGCCCGTCGCCCCTAGGCCCGTTGCTCCTATGCCCCGGCCCGACAGTCGACCCCAGGCCCCGCGAGCCGCCCCTTCCGGCCCGCCCCTCGACCCTGCAGCTCGCGAGCCGCACTTGCAGCCCCGCGCGCCGCCCCTGGTGGCCCTCTAGCCACCCCTGCTGCTCTGCTAGCCGCCCCTTGCGGCCCTACCACCGCCTCTTGCTGCTGCCTGCCCTCTGCTCTGTGCTTCCCTGCTTCTCCCCGCTCTGCGTGCTGCACCGCTATGGCTTCGCTTTGCGTTCTCGCATTCCATAATGAGGGCAGACCGATTCAGTTTGACACGTGGCTCGACAACCTGCAGCTGTACCTGATGAGCGACTCTAGGGACAGTGTTTCGTTGTTTGACCACATGTCTGGCGCCGCTCCCGCCCCTCCTGCAACAGCTGACAATGCGACTCACTCACAGTGGCTTACTCTCGACGCTGCTGCCCGCTTAGCCATTTGCAACCACCTGCCGTTAGCCGAATGCGCTCACTTCGAACAGCACAGGACAGCACAGGCACTGTACGACGCTGTCGGCGCTCGCTACTCCTCGGCTGCCACTGCTGCTCTAGGCCACCTGCTACTGCCGTACCTGTTCCCCGAGCTGTCCGCCTTTGACACAGTCGAGGACCTGGTTTCCCACCTTCGTGCTAGCGACGCTCGCTACCGCGTGTTAGAGACTAAGGACGGAGTCTAGGAAGATTAAGGGCCAAGATATCTCAAAATCGTCAACTTCAATTCTGGACAGAATTGTCGACTTCACAAGAAACGTCGTCGACGATTAACGCACAGTTTGAATTCTCTCAAACTCGAGTATGTTGTAGCCCTTGACTGTGGCTATCTTTCCCAATTTGAAAAGTATCAAAATATGGAGTTTAACTCGAGTTATGAATTTCGGCGCACTAGGGGTTATGCTGCCATAGAAAACGTAACTCAATCACAATTATCTCACAAGTTCACACAAGAAAGTTGGAATAGCAATTGAACCAGGTAGGAGGGGATGAGTAGGACGAGAGGGAAGGTCCCAAGGGAGTCCCCAACCAAAGAAACCCCATATCACACAATTCCCCTATCTATAGGCACCCCAACTTTGACATTTGTCACTTTCCCAACTCATGCCATCCACCTCACCCAACTTGGCCACACTTGCCAACCTGGTTTGGCTTCTCCCAACCACTTGGCATCATCTACAGTGATGGTGACGAATTTCCCAACCCCCAAAACTCTGTACCCCATATTGAGTCAACCCGCAAATTCCCATAGTCACCGCATCTCAATCAAAACTTCGAACGATCATATCTTTCTCGATCTTGCTCCGATCAAGGCGATTCTCGGTTCGTCGGGAAGCTCTTGAGCAGAGGAGTCAATTCAGATAGCTGCTCAAGCCAAATAACATTCACACACACTCAGGAAATCCAAACAACACCAAACACAAATTCTTGCACACGCTGAGACCACGCATGCAACACACGAACATATGATGGGAGGCAGACAGACGTGAATGCAAATGATAGCATCACATAACACCGCGCTGCCGCCCCCGCTGAGTTCCTTGACAGGAACCAGCCCTCGATGTTCATCACCCTCTACTTTATAGTCACCCGCCTCCTTGACTCTCTTCGCTCTGTCAGGGACCACTTTCTCTCCCTTGACCCCACAGTCCTCACTGTTGACCTACTCGAGCAGCACCTCCTTGCAGCTGAGACTAGTGTAGTCGCTGTAGGTGCTGCTCGTGGCACTCCGCGCATGCCCTTCTTTGAGGGGTGCTCCCCCTCCCTCCTTGCCCCCTCCTACGCCTCTGCTGCTGCTGTTGACGTCCTTGGTGCTGAGGATGTCGGGGCTGCTTCTGCTAGTGCGAAGCGCCGCAGCAGCAAGGGCAAGGGTGGCAGGACTGGTGGAGGTGGCAGTGGGAGTGGTGGTGGGGCCAGCAGTGGAGGTAGTGGAGGTAGTGGAGGTGGTGGCAGCGGTGGGAGTGGTGGCGGGAGTGGGGGCGTTGGTGGCGGCGGTGGAGGCAGCGGTGGGAGTGGCGGTAGTGGCAGCGGTGGGAGTGGTGGCGATAGGACTGGAGCTCAGCA